TATCCAACTATTGGGCCAAACGCTTGTAATTGTCAAAAAGAATCCATTTTTCATCACCCATAACCATATGGTATAGAAAGGGTTTGCCTGTATGTCATGACAGCAAAGAAAGGCAAGCTGTCAGACCATTTCTCTCTGGAATCCCTCTGCTCATTTAATACAGAAGCCGTCTGTCCACCTGCCTTTACCCTGCCAATTTGTTTCAAACGATCCACTATTGTTGGAATAGTAACACCAAACCCTACTGCTAATTCACATGTGGGTTGAGATGGATTTGTTTTCGGGTCATCATGATCCACCCTGGTCTCCGGTCGCTCAAGCGGTTCATTTCCAAGATTAAAATCACTAGAATGGAAATTCTCACACCACGGACATACTGCGTGTTTATCAGCCACGTCCTTCCCAAACATCTCGTTGATATTTTGAGCTGTCTGTGCTGCACTAGTTCCACAACGGGAACTCATATTTGAAAATGACATGAATTTTTGATTTGATCCATTGTTACACAAAAACTGCTGTAAAAAAAATCGAAAGATCATCACAAGCCACAAGAAAGAATGAGACTGTACTTTCTCAATACAAATAAAACAAAAAGTGTCAGAACGAAATGCCAGAGATATCATCTGTCAAAAACTTAGTACCTAAGGGTGGTGCCTGTGGCTCAACAGGCCCAAGGAGTAGGGCGCCAGCCCCATATACCAGAGGTGGCGGGTTCAAACCTGGCCCTGGCTGAAACTCCAAACTTAGTACTTAAGGAAAGTGGATATTTCATATAAGTATTAATAGGGAATAGTGTAAATTCTGAAGTCAGAAGCAGTGGAAAAGCAAATTCTCCAAACGGAAGGTGGATCTCAGGACAGAAGTTAGGATCTGAACTCTAAGGGCTTCCTATGAAGGACTATTTCACTAAAAGACAGTGGATTTCCTTGAACATTCTTTAAAACTTTTCAAAGCTTTCGGTTACTCTTTTGAGTTTCATGAAAACTATAAGATAAGAACTTTGGACATTGTTATTTCTCTTTTGCTGAGTTAACTAAGTTTTAGAGAGATGATATGACTTGCATAGGACCAATAGGTCAGTATGTAGCAATGCCCAAGAAAATCCAGCTTAAAAAAATATTTCTGATAATATTATTATTTTAATTTTCTCCATACTAAAAAAAGCAGGCATACTGAAATAACTTAGTCATTGTATTACAAAGAAACATTTTCTGTATTCCTCATGGGTGTGGTACTAGTACTTGTGTAAATAGATTTAACTCACTCTAATTCAAACATGCAAAAGGACATAATCTATACATGTCCATCTGATCCCATATATAATCAAATATGTGTCATTGTCCCAAACTATGTCCTTTTCTGATTTAGCCCTGTTTACTAAATATTCATGAGTCAGATCAAAATATTACAATTTTCTAATTCTGAATTTCTGAAAATCGTTATGAGATTCTTCAGTGAAAGAATGCTTAGCAGCATACAATATTACAAGTTAGTTACTCAAGCTATAGCTCAGAAATAAAATATATTCTAAGGGGAAAAATATGGTTGTGGTTAGTTTGCCATGGTCCAAAGCAACCTAAAGACACTTAAAGAGTTAAAGTATATAACTATAGTCCATAAAGTAGAAGGGAAGAGGAGAGAGGGGAGTGGGGACAGGGGATATGGGAGAAGGGAGGGTATTCAGGGTCCTCACCTAATGTGCATGATGCAATGGTACATTTCAAAACTATTCAGAAATGAGTATAATTGTGATGGATGTGTTACTTGGTTCAATGTAAGTATTTCACATTGTATATCGAAGCAGTACCCTGAACACCCCATAAATGCATCAGTGTACAAAGTTATGATTTAATAAAAAATAATTACAAAAAAAAGAAAAAAAAGAGTTAAAGTATAATGTAGTATCACAAAGTCGTCATGGAAACATCCCAAGTGCCCACCAATATATGAATGGATTAATAAAATGTAGTATATATTTACGATGGAGTACCACTCAGTTAGAAAACTGCTGAGCTAGTACCTTTGGGACAACCAGGATGGAACTGGAGATCATTGTTCTAAGTGACGTTATCACAAGAATGGATAAACAGATACCACATGTCCTCAATACTAAGTTGGAACTAATTGTTCAACACTTTGTGTATGTATTGAAGTAAAACTCAGTGAAAACCAAGCGGAGGTAGGGAGTTAGAAGGGGTGGCCACAGGGAACTCCATCTGGGTGAAGGGCACGCTTACAACTTTGACTCAATCTGTTCAAAAACAAACTTTGTAACCAAAATGTGTGTACTCCCTAATATTCTGAAATTTTTTTAAAGTGTAATATAATAATCAACAATCAAGTTCTCACAACCAAAGAGAGTTGAAAGTCAAATTAAATAGCTTAAGGTAGAGGATTTACTCATCGGCATTACAGTCCTTTATTTTGTTATTTGGATAATCATTTTCACCTTGTGGAAAGTTAATATATACATTTATGTCTAATCAGCAAATTAGACAGTTGAAAAGTATGTATGAGCACCTAATAATGGACCCCAATTAAGTTAGGTACTATGAGTATATAAAAAAGAATATATAGGGCAGTGCCTGTGGCTCAGTGGGTAGGGAACCGGCCCCATATACCAAGGGTGGCGGGTTTGAACCTGGCCCGGGCCAAACGGCAACAAAAAAATAGTTGGACATTGTTGCAGGTGCAGCTACTTGGGAGGCTGAGGCAGGAGAATTGCCTAAGCCCAGGAGTTGGAGATTGCTGTGAGCTGTGACGCCACCGTACTCTACCAAGGGCAATAAAGTAAGATTCTGTCTCTAAAAAAAAAAAAAGGATATATAAATATGAAGGCTACTACTTATACTTCAAACCCAAGGTGGATTAATTAACATGTTAAATATTTTTTTAGAGAAACAGTATTTTAAATATGCTCTAGGAGATCAGAGAAATAAAAGGTTGATGTGGTTTGAAATAATTTAAATAATAGAAAGCTTTGCTGAATAAAGTTAGTAAAAAATATAAAAACATGGGGGAGGTTGCAAAGAAATCTGTTCAACTCTTAAAATATTAATTTAGTTTTTATTTGTAAATATTTATGTAAGAATTTCACTTTATTAGCATCAACTACCAATACTGAGACAAAAATATGTAAAATGAAAATCTGTCTTAATTGCAGCAAATCTGAATATGGGTCTTGTACAAAAGTCATTGAGAAGATGAACTCCTGTCTTCGTTTTTTCCCCTTTTTTGATGTCCCTTCACTCATATTAATTTTTAAGATATATACATATTATTTCAGACAGAAAGTTTTTTCTAGGCACTGGGAATATATGGTCGAAGAAAGCAGTTCCTGTCCTTAAGAGGTTAAAGTTTGGTAGGTGGAAGGCAGTAAATGAAGTCTTTGCAATACAAGAGGCTGTAAGAGTTTTGGGGACACAGAAGAAGTTGAGGGGAATGCTTCAAGGTGGTTTCCTGCAAGACAACCAGGAGGGGACAAATGTGTGTCTGTGGGAGGGTGAATGTTGGGACAAGGTCAGAGGAGGGAAAGGCATTCCAGAAAAAGAAACTGTTAGTCTACAAAAGGCATGTTTCCCATGCTTGTTTCAAAGTCCCTCATTATCTTTATGGAGAGAGAAAAGTCTTTAAAAGCAAATAACTAGACCATATTGAAAATGAAACTTAGATATTAATGAACGCTAAAGATTACTTTTCTGTCTTTTGGGGTGTTACCCACTGACTGTATACAAACTATTCATTGTATAATAGCAGCCTTCTTCTACTGTGAGTCATTTTGTGATGGCCCAGTTGTTTATATTAAGTTCCAAATAGATTTCTGATCACATCACCAAATAAACCTCTTCTATGGAAAGAATACTTTTTTTTTTAATAAAGAGGAATATGTAGCCAATTTACTTTAGGATTTCCTGAGAGATTAGAGAACTGTAATTAATAAGAAGCATTAAAAACACCGCTGATAAAAATCATTAAATACTCAGACCCTGCTTTTCGAAAGCCTCTTATAATTTACAGTTGACAGTTTATCAATTGCTTTTCCATAACATCAAGTCGTTTAATTAGTACACATGTGCACTAAAATGTCATTTCAGATTAGTTTGAAAGTCCTTGTTTGCACATGAGGCATTTTAATCAAAGGTCTTTAAAAAGAATATATTCTAGTCAACGCGTTTTTAAAATCAGACAAAAATTAAACATCCTGCTATGCAGCTGCCGTTTCAGCAATGAATTTAGAACTTCCGTTGCAACTTTAACCGGAGGTCACGTCAAATTTCCCCACTAAGACCGTTTTCGTGTTAGCTGGGCCACACGGGCACGTTTTTGTTGCCATGAGAACCTTCTATTTTGTATTAGAAATCGCAGCCTTGACGACGCAATGTTTGCGCCTATTTTGCACATGTTTTTCTACAGCTCTTCCTCCCCGCCCGTAATAATAGTCGAGCGGCTCTGGTTTCCTCCTGCACCGGCCTAGTTTTTCCGTTTCAGCTGCAGTTGTCCGAGGCTGTGCTGTCGCGCTCTGGGAGAGGGCGGCAGGGGCAGCACCGGAGGAAACGCGGGGCAGCGCGGCCTTTCCGCAGCCGCCCGGAGGGCTGGGTCTGTCTCGCCCTGGGGAGCCGAGCTCTGATGCTGCTTTTAAATCTACAGTGAAACACAAAAATCGGGCAATGCCACGTCGTCCCAAGAGGATGAGAGGGGCGGGGTGTGCGCTGTGTGTTGTGAGCTGTTCCCAGATGGATCGGAACCTAAGGATTCTCCCAGGTGCGGAGAAATCCTGGCTCAGGCCTCGGTTCGGAGAGAAAGGACCCGGCCGGGTGGCGCGGCGGGCCGATCCCGGGTGGCAGGCAGGGTCTCGCCCGCGGAGGGTCGCGCGGGAAGCGGGGCTGAGCCCGCGCGGAGCCTCCCAGCCCCCACCCGAGGGGCGCCCTCCCCCGGGCTCGCGGCGGGGGCCGACGGGACGGCGGGGGCCGACGGGACGGCGGGGCACGTTAGGGTCTCCCGGGAGACGGGCTCCGCACAAGATGGCGGACGAGAGAGAGCGGGAAGGTAAGGCGGGGGCTGCCCTCGCCGCCCGCCGCGACCCTGGGCCGCACGGGGAGTCCCAGGAGGCTGAGTCACCCTCCGTCTTGGGCTCCCACCGCGGGGAGAGGGCTGACCGGCGAGAGACACACCCTGCCGGCGCGGCCGCCGCGGCCGGGTCCCCGCGGGCCGGCGTCTCGGCTCCGCCTCTCCTCCCTCGTCTCCCCACACCCCCGCCTCCCGGGCTGCGGCGGAGGCGTCGCCAGCGGGAGCTGATAATGGCGTCCTTGTCCGCGGTCGCGGCAAGTGCCAGCCACCCCCACGCCCTCGCGGGGGTCTCGGGGCCGCGGGCGCCGCGCCGGCAGCTGTCCAGGCCCTGGCCCCGGAGGGGGAGGAGCGGGCTGGGTCAGGACAAGTCGTGGCCGCCGGAATCTGGCAGCATCCTCTCCGGTGGCGCCGAAACCCCGCCCGGGCCCTCCCTGCCGGCGGCCGTGGCCACCATTTTGCCTCTTCAGTGGGGACCGGGGAGGATGTGGCCTGAAGGTCAGAGTCGCTCCCTCAGCGCCTGTTTGTCTGGCGGCCGTGCAGCGCCCCGCAACCCGCTTGGTGTCTTGTCTTAAAAAATATATATAATAAAAATAATGATGAACAAGCAAAACCAAGCGGAGACGAGTCGGGCCGCTGCGTGCCGGCTGGGCCCCCGCCCCCCACGGTCCCCGGGGACCCGCAGGTCGCCGCCCGCAGAGGGGGGACCGCGCGGCGAGCCTGAGGGTCGCCAGGTCGGAGGGATTCATGAGTTGCCGCCGAGAGGACGGGAAAAACCGACTGTTTACGTTTATTCGCAAGACCTTTAACTTCTTTTCAATTATTTAAAACCCGCTCTGTGGTTACCAGACAATTACTCCAAATAATTGTGTTAAGTAATGATCAGAGACACCCCCAGACAACAAACACCACCCCATGAAACAGTAACGGTAAACAAACACCTAAGAAACAAAATAACATTCCTTCTTTGTTTTCCTTCTGGAGCGCTCAAAACACTGTGAAGATACCATTTTTCTCAGCGTGGGACGAAGGGTAGTCAGGTCAACAGCTAATATTTACAAGGGACAAAAACAAGCCTGAGATTAAGGTGATGCCTAAATGAGCAGCGGAAACAGATGAAACTGGGCCAACTAGATATCTACCTATTACTACCAGGAATACTATGATTGTTACATAGTATGATTCATTAGAAACCAGTATTATTTTACAAGCATTACCTTTACTAAGATGTCTTTAAAACTTTATCATGTTACTTGAAAAGTAGAAGGTACCCATTAAGCAAAGATTAATTTTAAAACTTGCCTGGAGAACTATGAATTACTTACTTTTATTTATTAAGTTCACATTTATTTAACCAAAAAAGGGGCACTCATTAGGAGATAAACTAACAATTATGTACTTTTTTTTTCCTTTTAGAAGATTTAAGTCAGCATGAGGAAAAAACAAGAAAATTCACTGGGGTTTGGTGCAAATACAGCATCTTAAAAAAAAATAGATTGAGAGCTTTCCAAATTTTTTCTGCTTTGTTAACAAATACTTTTCAGTTTAAAATAAATTGGTTCAGAGAAAGATACAGTTCTCTCTGTAACCAAAGGAGTACCTGAGTACCTGCTAGTAAAAGCAGGATGGCCTTCATTCAATTGACATAAATTTAAGGCCTCTCATATGGAGGGTATTCTGCTTAGGACTTTAGAAGATGTCCTTTTCTAGAGATGAAAAGGACATTGTCTTTGGTCCCAAGAAAGGTGAGATTCGTAAGAGAGATAAAACATAACATATATGGGCGGTGCCCGTAGCTCCATGGGTAGGGTGCTGGCCACATACACCCAGGCTGGCAGGTTCAAGCCCCACCCTGGGCCAGCTAAACAGCAATGACAACTGCAACAAAAAAAA